AGATGGACAACAAAATGCTATTAGTTGTTCGTTTTACATCTCTATTAATGGTTTTCTATGTGGAAAATGGTCAGTGTTAGATTGTAACAAGAACTAAGAGCTACACATATGTAAATGATGACCCACAAGTATAGGAGATTAATTGTAATCTGTTCGATAAGTAAGAGCGTCGAACCCAACAAGAAGCGGAAGGAAATGATAAGTGGTTTTTCAGCAAGGTAATGTCCGCAAGCACTGAAATTATCGGTAACAGATAGTTTGATAGCAAGATAATTTGTAACAAGCAAGTAACAGTAACGGTAAACAATATGAAGCAAGGCAGCCCAATCCTTTTGTGACAAATGACATGCCAAAACGGTTTCTTATAATAAGCAAAGTGTTCTTGTATGCGTGATTATTGGATTGGATTGGATTGGAGGAAACTCATAACTGCATGCATGCCCACACATCACGTTGTTTCACAAACGACTAACAAGTCCATGATTTTAGGAAGCGAAATCAATCTTTAAAACATACCTAATTCTACATATATTATTTCCTAAAATCTTGATCGTGTGCGAACGAGCGGCCGAACACGAGCCACACGATCTTTTTGTATCGGACGGTGCTGGACTTGAGGTGGTACTTGGTGTTCACATATGAACACGTCACTGTGTACCTCCAACACCGAGGGTGATGCACCGTAGCTCAAGTCGAAGGAGTCCCGTCAGGAAGCGCGGTACGCAAGCAATCCGGCGGGTGCTTTTCAGGACCCGAAACCCCACGCGCCCGGGAGGGACCCCGTCTGGACGCGCGGCGGCTATGGGCTTCCCTAGGTCGGTTCGCCCGCCCCTAGAGTCTCGAGGATCGCAGCCCTGCAATGAAGAAGAACGAACGAAAAACGAGGAAGAAGAAGAACAAAGAGAGAGAATAAAAGTAAAGGTAAAAAGTGATAGCTGAATTGATCGATTGTGTGTTGTTCAATCGGCCGTCACTCTTAAATTGACTAGATTGTGTGAATCCGTAATAAGAGGCGGCTGGACTTCCCGTGCAAGGAAAAGGCTTGGATTCACGTCTAAAACCCTAGTCAAATTCGGATTGGTTTTGTCCGAACTTTTCAAAACTGTTCGGTTTAAACTGGCTGCACCTTGCGGGTCATTTTTGAGGTGGTAAACGACCTCGGGTGGAAACGAGCCCAAAAGCAATCTTGAACGTTTAGCCGAGACGAACAACTTTCATGTTGAATGTTTTTTTATCAAAGCTCATCTTGAGGGACAAATCGCTCACGCAAAACAGACTATTATTCGCGCTACCTATCAGACACGGTGTGTGGTGGGGCCCGCCATTTTTTGCCTACTGATAGGACTGTATTTCGATGGCTCTAACTTTTGTATACGAATTTGGATTGAGACGATTTTTATATTAAAATCAACCGTTTCAACGAGACGCACAACTTTCATGTTGAATCTTTTCCCATTGGATTCCTTCTTGGGGGTGTAATCAGCCGAGTAGTGTTATAAATACAAAATCTCAGTACTTCGAACACAACTTCGGCCTTAGAGATGAGATTGGATGGCTATGGCCCAAATATCAAAGTTTCTTCTTTTGACAATATTGAACTTTCACAAGTCCATGATTTTATGAAGCGAAACCAATCTTTAAAACCTACCTAATTCTACTATAGATAAATTATTAATTTCAGGAAACGTTTGTATCCAGCTGGCGTGAGTACGATCAAAGCGAGGATCTTTTTCTCTCGTGAATCTTCTCTCCCTCCACCACATAGATTTCCTCCTTTTTCTTCTCTGTCCCCGGCGAACCACCACCGCCCGGTGAGTACGCCGCCTCCCACTTGTGTCGCAGACCCACCACTACTGTTTGGGCGGCGGGGGCTCTTCGCATGCTCCGTGTAGAGCATCTCCAACAGACGCGCACCACGAGGGCCGAGCACAAAACAGCAAGCCAGGCGGTGCGCCTAGCGATGGCCGGAGATGCGACCCGGCAGCCCGAGGTTGGAGACGCGGTCACCACGCGCTAGAACTAACCGACGTCGAGCTACAACCATAGTGGAAATTTGCTAGAACGGGCTGACGACAGAGCTACAACAACGATGGAAATTTGCTACAACCGTGGCCAACATTTTTTTTTTCTTCTGGAAACAACGGCAAGGGTTGCAACCGGCGCAGCTAGGAGCTACAACCCTTTTGATAGATGTTACAATCAGGACGACAAATGTTACAACCATGGCCAACGGCTGGCGGCGTACAACCGTGGAATGACAAAGGATGCAACCAGCACAACTGATGCTACTATCCTTCGACAAGATGTTAGTACAACCATGGGTGACAAATGCTACAACCATGAACGACCCCGGCAACGACGAAGGATGTTACAGCAGTGGATGACAAATGCTACAACCATGAACGACAATGGCAACAACGAAGGATGTTACAACCATGGAGGACAAAGGCTACAACCATGAACGACCCTGGCGACGACGAATGCTACAACTAAAGGCTGCAACGGGCGAAAATTGATACACGTGTAACGGGGGGTGCTATTTTTCCAATTTGAAATTGGGTTGTTGACAAGTTTAGCGGCAGTTTCGGGAATGCCCCAAATTATCGAAGGCGTCTCTAGCGTTTTAAGGAAACGTTGCAAAAATAATTAGAAGGAGTTGTTATGTCCATTAAAGGCGTTTTACAGCGCCTTGCGGTGATGTGGTGCGGGGTGTTCAACAACATGTACAAGTCGGCTAGGTTGAAGCTCCACCGACCAGTCGTGCTTGTGGCACCGACCGCCAACAGCGTATCTCAACAAGGGTTTTTTAGAAAACATACTGGCAACAAGTAGGCCATTCGCCAACTGGTGCGCACACCCTGCTGAAACTAACGGGCCGGCCCATATAACATACATTAGAGGCGGGTTTTCTTTCAATTTTGGGAAGGTTCTGATAGCTTCTACCAGTTTTTTTTTTTTTGAAGAGTTTTTATGTGTTTTGTGTTGCCCGATTTTTTTTAAGAGTTTTTATGTGTTTTTGAAGAATTTTTTCTCAAATTCGTGAACTAGTAGCACAGATTTCTGTCAGTTCCAGCATCTAGCGAGAGCGGTTGCAGCATCTGACGGGCGCCCGTAGTAGCAAATAATTATGCCGGTTCCAGCATCCAGCGAGAGCGGTTGCAGCATCTGGCGGGCGCCCGTAGTAGCAAATAATTATGCTGGTTCCAACATCGAGCGAGAGCGGTTGCAGCATCTGGCGGGCGCGGTCATCGCCCGTAGTAGCAATTTTTTGGCCGGTGAAGTTTGCATCACCGGTCGGGTCGTAGCATATTTGGACGCCGGTTGTAGCATCTCCGGTCGCTGGGTGGCCAGCACCTCGCCTTGCCCGTTGTAACACCTTGACATGCCGGTGGGTACAAGTGCTTTAACCTTATATTTGAGAAGCTCTACAGGAGAGACACATACAATGAGATGGCGTTAGCTTCTGTGGTCCTTTTCGGCATGAGCCACAAGGACGGTTACAATAGCAGGGACGTCAAGTCAAGGTAACATATATATGCATCCTCTTCTCTTGCACAACTATGGTCGAGTTATTGCCACACTTGACCATCACTGCATTGGGGTGTATTCCTTTCCTTATGTAAAATTCGTCTATGAATATATCGACGGATGGCATGACATGGTTTCGCAGTAGGAAACCCACCTTCCCAATGAAGCTGGTTTTCTTTCTTTGAATGTCTAAGGGAGTATGTTAGCAAGGTTAATTTGGTATGTAAGTCAGGTGCCTGCAGCCGGTGAGATTACAGAGCTGGTTCAACGGCACATAGAAGAAGATGGATATGGATGGAAGACGTTCATAAGTGATGCCGCCACATATAAAAAGGTTGGGCAACTTTAGGGGCCATCTGACTCTGAAGAGGTTCAGCAAAGCACCAACAAATTTAAAGCGTGACCTTGGAGAGGAGCTGTGGGATGGATAGCTTGGACAAGCCATCATTCTTCCTCCCAAGTCAAAGCCATCTTACAAAACGCTTTTCATCCGCACCGAGATGTTGTTGACCGGGTCTCTCTCTTCACCGCCGCCATACGCTACATGAACTAGAGGACATGTTCAAGTACAACAAGGAAAACCTGGAGAGTGGCTCAAGGGATGGGAGGATCATTAAACACACGGATGGGACAATCCACAAAGCTTGCAGGCTTGCTGTGTCACTGATGAAGCTGGACCAAAGGGAGGGTGTGTGCAGTGGGTGGAGATGCTCTGCTACTCTGCTAGTAGAAGAGATCCATGACAAGAAGCTAGCACTTTTACTTGTACCTGACCATAAGCAGCATCAACTCTTTTTTTAGTGTGCTTCTGCTGATTTTCAGTTGTTTTAGCTGTCTCGTTCTCGCTAAGCCATGTAAGCGCTGAATAAGCACAAGACACTGTAAAGGTAAAAAAAAACTATAGGTACCAAGGGATTTTTTTTTCTTAATAAAAGAAAATATGTTGGAGACAGACAGACCAAACATTACTACTGTCCTAACAAAATAATGAACAAAATAATGACCAAACATTACTACTGTCCTGTCATGGCTTACCTTCTGATCTCCATGTTAAAGTTACAAAGGAAATTCTTCATTCAACAAGGCAAAGGCACAAGAGAAATGTTCTTCATTTTCAAGACAAATAAATAGCTCACCCGCAAAAAAAAAGACAAATAAATAGCTAATAAAGAGCCAAGCAGACACAAAGTAGTCAACTCAGAAAAGGCAAAAACCAAAGGAAATAACAAGATCTCTCCTACAGGTAGGAGTGGAGACAACTTGCCCTAAAAAAACAAAAGCCCTATCTCAACTAGTTCAACCAAATAAATGGACCAAAAATACATGCGGTTGTAAATTTTCTTTTTGCTATCTAAATACCAGCTAAGACAGAATAACATACATATATCCGTACAAAAACACACATCTCAGCAGACCAAACTAACAAATCGTCTGCAACTGCAACCGCACACGCTGTGCTTGTTATCTAGCAGCTATAGTTGTGTCTGCGTGTTGTCTCCAGGACCAGGCGGCAGCTCTCCGCCCATCTTGGGGGCGGCGCCCAGCACTCTCTCCATGTCGAAACGCACCTCAATGTTGCGCATGCTGTACCCGACGATCATCAGCCAGAACAGCAGGTTCGCCAGCTGGGCACCGCTCGTCTCCGAAACCGCCGTCTGCGTCACCATTCACGCCAAGTCAGCAACAACATATACATACATACACATGCTTCTCTATAAGCCACCGAAACTACTTATGCTGGTGGAGTGGTGATACTAGATCCATTTTACCTTCATCTGCGCAGGGTCCGAGACAGCCAAGAGACGCTTTATGAATGCGTTCATTGCAAACACGACGTCCTCACCCGCACTACTCGCCAGTTCCTACAAAACAAAATCACCATTTAATTAGCTAAATCATTCATCAAACTAGCTACAATGATAAGCCAACAGTATCAACAACATATACAGATATAATACCTTTAGATTTTGAGGTTCTAGGGTTTTTAGGTATTCCAGGAGCTCATTGCTTCCTTGAGATGATTTCCTAGCAACTTGACGGCTCAGCTCATCGATTTCTGCTTCAAGCAATTCTATATATTTCACAGCGTCAATCTTTTCTGGTCCAGTGGTCTTGTTCCATCGGATCACTTCCCCACTTACCTTTTTCTGGGTTCCAGGAGCATAATCTTCTGAGCCCTAGAGATGCCAACCACGCATATTACATAATATACAATCAAACCAAACAACTAAAATTGAATTTTGCTATTATGATAGCTTAACCAGCAGAGCTCCTTCAGAATGATCAAACAACACGGGTATATGTTTAGGAATTCAAGGCACATGATTCTAAAAACTAGGAGTAGCAAGTGCAGATACACCAGTCCATCAACCATAACACCAGGTCACAGCATCTCTTTCCAATGTTCTACACCAATAACAAAGCTAGTACAAAGCAATATGGATGCCGTACTTTGCTCTCTGAGCAGTGATACAAGTCAGGCAGGTGAGGTCACCGAGGTGTCAACCATCCCACACTGGCAACATCTCACGGTAAGCCTGCATGTGTTCTGTAACTTCATCTAACCCAGAGTAAATGAATACTGAACTATCGCCATTTTTATACCTTGCTAAGCACTAGGTACCACCAAACCAGCAATAAAAAAGCACCAGTAATAATTATCATATATGAACATAATTTCTTAGCAAACAGAATTTAGTCTTCCACGCGATATGAAGTCGTCAAAACATCGGGTGATCACAACCATCAAAGTAGCGAGCTTGCATGTGAAAACAGCTAATACGACACTCTAAACATCGCACCTCTTCCAATCATAGATCTGAAGTCGTGCAAATTCAAAACAAATGTTACTCATTAGTAGTTTTATACATATTGCAGCGAACGACAAAAAGTTAAATGTACCAACATTTTCAGCAAGATGTACTGAGCACTGTAAAATATCAGGGTAATTAACACAATAATTAATTAATCACGCAATGATAGATCAAATATACGTGACAGGATTATGACAAGCCCATCAATGTTGCTGTGAAATAAGTGATTTGTTCCCTCTTTGAGACGAGTGGAATCATTTAGAGACTGAAATATCAGCACAACTGTTGAATCAATATATCCATGAGCAGTGGCATGAATCGGGAAGGTACAAAGCAATATGGATGCACTAGTTTGGTCGCTGAGCAGTGGCATGAATCGGGAAGGTGAGGTGTCAACCATCTCACAGTGGCAACATCTAACCCAGAAAAATGAATATTGCATCTATACCTTTGCTAAGCACTGGGTACCAAACCAGTAAGAAAACACCATCAAAGTAGCGAGCTTGCATGTGAAAACAGCCAACGCAGCACTCTTTTTTTCGAGAAAACGCAGAAGATTTGCGTTTCATTGTATTGAAAAGAGGGGGTTAAAGATCACTCTTCTACCAAACATAGATTTGAACGCATGCATATTCAAAACAATTGTTACCCATCAGTAATTTCATACAAATTTCAGTGGAACAACAAAAAGGTAAAGTAATTGACCAACTTTTTCAGTCAGATCTACTAAAGAGCAAACACTAAAAAATATCAAGATTGGACTGTTAAATAATTGCTAAGCAATTTGCTTGTTCTCTGAGGCAGGTGGAATCATTTTGAGACAGAAATATCAGCACAGCTGTTGAATCAATACATCCATGCATGTGAAAAAGTAATATTGTGCTAACATTAGTGGAAAAGAACCTTTTCTCCTTTGGGTTCAGGAAGAGCAATCTGCTCCAGGCTCTGTTGCAGTTCCAGACGATACTGTGCATTCCTGAACATGTATCCAGTCATCAAAACGCTGTACATAAGCTGTGCCAGATTTTCAGCAACCTGTGTTGATGAAAATGATTAGTAACATGTCGCGATGAAATGAATATTACAGATGATATTTTCATTACCGTTGTGACGGTTACAGCAAAAAATTGAGGCGGCAGAGTCCCAATCATATTTGTCACTGTATGGCGCATGGCATCAACAACCTTGGAGGACAAAGTAAGTTATGAAGGGGCAATTTGAGCATATATATAAAGACACATATATTTTTTAGCAATATAGCCAGTATTTCTAGACTGAAAACATATATATATAGGTTATGATCAAGACATGGGGGAAAGGAGAGGTAAAAGAACCTGTGTTGGGGCTCTTTTGACGAAAAGCTCCATAAACTCTGGCTGGACGCCTTTTACGTATTCCAGGAGAATATCCCTCCGGTTTTTGGGCTGCAAGTATCAATCAAAATAGCAGATAAGCATAGATAGATTTGAACACGGCTAGCTAGCTAGCTATGTGGTTGGAGAGGAAGATTTCTTTCTATGTAAGATAAGATAAGATTTCTTCATCCAATCGAATCGAATCCAATCCAATCCAATCCAATTCCAATCCAATCCAGTCGAATCCAAGTTGGATCAGTTACCAGGTGGTTGGCGCCCCCTGAACCGGAACCGGAATCTGGACCGGGAGAGGCCGCACCGTTGACGCCGTTGGGTCCGGCGGCGGCGAGGCGGAGCCCCACATCCGCATGGAGACGGCTGCGGCGCGCGGGGAAGCAGACGAGCAGGGGCCTAGGTGACAGCCTCCCCATACTAATACCAGAGGAGGAGGAGGAGGCGGCGGCGGAGGCGGGGAGTAGGAGGGACGGCGGCATGGCGGCGGCGGCGGTTGGTTGGGTTCTCCGCTCCGCCGTGAGTAGGAGGGCCGGCCGGGGAAGGAAAGGAAGGGGATAACTTTAAGGGCATCTCATCTCATCTCGTCTGCCGCCTCAAGATTCGTGCTGCACTCCTCTACTACCAAGATGGTGGATAACACCCAGATCAATCAATCAATCAATCAATCAATCAATCAATCAATCAATTAAATTAAGGCCTCATTCGGTTTCAAGGAAACCAAAATGTAGGAAAATAGTCACCCAATGTATATGCATATGAATATCAGTACAAGGGGTGTAGAGCTTATACTCGGTGTGCTGTTTGCGACCGGTTGTTCGAAGATGGAGGGCATCTTTTTCTTAAATGCAAATGGGTGAAACACAGATGGCGAGCGTGAAGAGGTGAGAGTGAAATTGTCACAGCAAATTTCCGCAAAGGGACTAGTATATGCTATTGTAGAAGGACAAGATATGGGCTGTGCAATCTCGATGTATTGATCGGTGCGCCAGGCACGTATATATAAATACAGAGGTGGGCCACAACCTCAACTATACAAAGGAAACAAAAGGTGGGCCCTACACACAAATATACACGTACACAATATACTCA